TTTGTGCCAAATTTGAAGTTCCCTTAAAGCATTACTGAGATATTGCAGATGGACGGACTCTGGCCCCTGAGTGACACCCGAGTTTTTCTTCCTCAATCTTTTAAAGGGTTAAGCTTATTGTTACTTCTCTCTTATGTTTGACCTTCACGGTGCAGAATGATGTATGAGCAGAGTTTGACACTAGAAGGCTGTTAAGTGTAGAAATCTATGACGGACAAATTATTATTCAAAGCAGTGTATCTTTACATGTCATGTCAGGACATGTCCGGAGGGGACCTTTAATCATAGTCAGGTTTTTGCTGGGAACCACTGCGAACTGCAAACTGTGCGACTTAAGCTCAGATTTTCAAACTTTAAAAGGTTAATTCGCAAAAGTGAATTTCACAGCCTTTAGGCAAGTGATTTTTCACTAAATTCTTTCTTGAGCTTGACAGACACAATACGTGTTCATATCACAGGAAGCTAATGTTTGTATCCCTCAGTTTTCTCTAGCTGTGATGGAAACCTGCAATCCTAGAACAGAGGCATTTTTTTAGATCAGTGGTTGACACACTGTATGTGTGAAACAACACAGGAAATAGTCTGGTAAAAGATACACTACTACAGTAGCCATACCTGTTCAATGCAGCCTTAAAAAAACAGCAAAGATGCATGTGTTTGACTCCACTGGAAATCCATAATCTGGTCGTGACAGGGGTGGATATATTCAAATGACAAATTTCAGCAGAGCCTCACTGAATAAAAGGACACTGATCTTAGACCATAACTCACAAGTCTGCATCTTCTTCTGTATTTACAGGTGGAGCTAATTAATGTGACTTTAGCCTTAAAATGCTTGTGAAAATACTTATCCAGGTCAGAGGAGAAAGCCACTATTGCATTGTGAACTGTTATCGTCCCTTGGCATTTCTGTTATCTAGTCATACCATCCATATCTACTCCCTATCTACACCCAGCAGTCTGCATCCACTTTGAGTGACTGCCCTGGCGTCTGTGTTGACACATTTATTCATCTCATCTCTTATGTCTTCTCAAATCATCACATCTCAGTGCTGCTGTCCATCTTTCCTCTCCTCCCTCTATACTTGCTGACTGTCTTCCCACTGACCCTGCCACCCCCACACTTCTGTCTGCACCCTCATCCATTCTCCTCTAATCCTGCTTCTGTCTTCACTCTGTCCTTTGGCTGTCTGAAGTCCTGCGAGTTGAGAAAGTGGCTTGGATGACTCCTCTCACTCCGGGTCACCTCTGCCCTCCCTCCACTGCTTCTGCCTCTGCTGCTAAATCAACATGTCACCTACTTTGAGACAAAGGATTACATGCTCACTGTCCCTTCCCCTAAATCACTCCCCCATCCTGTTTTTAATTTTTTTGACACTGGCTTGACATTGTCTCACCCTAAACTTAAAACAGTGACTTCAGCAAATACATACCAGCATCACGCCATTTATTTCCTCTCAAAATTCTTGACCCAAATTGGCTCCTTTCTACTGAGACGTTATTGGTCTCTTAAAATGCTACTTTTGCTTTTTAATGTTGTCATCCTCCTAAACACTCAATCTCAACTGACATATCCCACACTATTTTCAAGAATACATTGACCCTTTCCCACAGCATATTTTTATTATTGTGTTTCATTGGCCTAATTTACAGTAGGCTATAGTTCACTCTTTCCTTTTACCAAAACAATGTCAACCTGAGGTCCTTTCAGTACCTGAATTGTCTAGTTTAATATCACATGATCTGTTTGATTCAGTCATTTAGTCTATGAAATTTCACAAAATGGTGAAACATGGTGAAAAAATTGTGGAAAAATGTCCAGTCCAAATAGTCAATCATAAAATCATTCTATTAAATATAAAAATACTGTATTCAAAATACATATTAAAGACGAAAAAAATTTGTTGATTAATTGATTAGTCAATCAACAGAAAAATGATTTATCGTCATTAAAAGTATTTTTTTAAGCAAATATCCCTCAATATCCCCAGATAAAGCTTCTCATTTCTGAATATTTGCTGCTCCGTTTGAACTATATAGGCTATATATCATCATATATAGGCTATATGATGATGATGATGATGATGATGATGATGGTCATGATGATGATGATGATGATGATGATCATCATCATCATGAGCCTAATTGACCGTTCAGGGATATAACTGTGAGATAATAGTTTATCATCACAGTTATGAAGCACACAACAGAAAACAGATGAATCAGATAATGGCTTTATATTCCTGGTACAATGATGCATTACACACATACTTGAAGTTGTGATTAGAAGTACATTCTGCAAAGATACAGCAAACCACAAAAAAGGCAGCATTTTAGTCAAGAAGAGTCCTAACAACACATCATTTTATTTGGTTGTTGTGTCATTGTCTTTAAAATCATATTAAGAACACTATCGTTTAAGGATGTGGGGTCATTTCACATCCCAGAAAATGTCAAATGTCAAGTTTTTCTTCCTGTTTAAGCTTAAATCTATTTGTCATGATATCAAGTATAGTGCTTAATTATTGCACAAAACTCAGTGGAAGTCTTACTGGTACAGTTAAAGTAAACTGAAGTACCTGTGTTACACTTTTAATGATTCTAACATCAGAAGGAGTAAAGCTCACAGAACTTTAGTCTCCTACTCACAAAGCATGAATGGATTAGATTTAGATCTCAAAGAATTTCAGGGTCAAACTCCAGCTGCATTAATTTTTAATCACAAATGAACACTTTGTTCTTAGAGCAGCACATCTGAAAGTGCACATAAACACATTTCCATAAATATAGATTATTACTGTTATGTTAGCTTGTTAACACTTTCTTCTCTACTCCCTGAGAAATTAAAACACTGGTTAAAGTAAATCTCCAGCACTTACACAGCATTATGTTGTTTTTCAAGGCTAGAAGTATTTCATTAATTAGCAAACGCTTTTCATCAGCACCCAAACCTTCTTACTGGTAACTGTAACGGCTTGACGAAGATGTACATGATTCTATATTGTTAGAGATATTTAAAATACAAAATGGATACAAATATACACTCAAATATTTTGTACTACCTCTGGCCTGAAGTCACAATATCAGCGAACCTTAGATAGGCTGCAAAAATCAACAGATGTACAGTACACATGTAGGAATTTAGACCGCTTATTGTAAACATGATGGAAAAATGACAATAGGACCTTGCAACACAATATTCCACCAGTCCCTGAATTTGAACATAATAATAAAATGCTAAAAACAGATTCAGTGAATACAACTGCTCTTCTATATATTCTTAAATACATTTCCCAGTCACTGTCATGAATTTAGTGAGGCAAAATGAGGTTACATGTTGAGTTAATTCTGCAAATATATACCAGAGAGGCTGATGCCAACACCATTCTCTCACACCACTGTACTTGAACTGGGAATACCTTCAAACATAAAGAAGATGTTGGACTTCTTAGAGAACATAAATCTTCCCCAACGTATTCAGCCTTTTATCAATACCAATATTCAATACGAATATTCATTATAAGAGGATTAAGTGAGTGCTAACTAATGACTACACAAACAGAATTTAAAATCTTCAATTGGTGCATTTCATTACAGTTTATTTCATTGTTTCAGAGACAGAGTGTATAATAGTGGGGCCAAAGTGCAGGCATATGGCTACAGCGTTCCCTTTGGATCACATGCTGGTGTAGATTACGTCTGTATAATCAAGCCCTAGATTAGGTTTCAGTAATGAATGGTTCAAGAGTGCACAGGTAGTGTGCCTGCCTCTCTGTCACCTTATCCCTGCTCTACACCGTTCTTGTCCTTGCCCGACACAACATGTGTGGTCTTTTGTTCCAGATAGTGCTATAACACCTGATCCTAGTTATGTGTCCATTGTCGAGGCCTTGGATGAAGTGTTAACGTGCTTTGAACTAGAAGAAGAAGCCATTCAACACAGAGACCCTCCAGAGATGGAATAGGTTTAAGTTGTTGTTCTTGGTCAGTAAAATCTCTGCACTCTATAACAGCACATGTGACCCAAAATTTCACAGCTAACATTGCTCAAAAATGTCAGCTGCAGTGAGATGTTGAAATGTAAAGCAAATTACATTCACATCGAAGGGGATTGGTGTGTTAAATGAGCTGACTGCATTGGATTTAGTTCCACTCCAGAGCAAACTAGACACAATTTTGGTTAAGAAGACCTTTAGTATCTTGATCAGACTTTAGAATCCAAACTTAGTGCATCATTAAATACTGCATATCTCCATTATTGATCCTGATAATCTTAACTACTGAGCTTATCTATTTGCATTCCATTGGGAGTCCTGTCCTGCATACTGCACCTACTACTGCCTAACACTGTATACACACTTAATACTCAATAATTAAGTAGTTCTCTACACTTAGACAAATACGTTTTGGGAAAAATGCTCAATCTCTTCCTTGCTGAGAATTACATGAAAAATACCACTCTCTTTCAAAATATGCTGCTGGTTAGCTTAGCATAAAATTTCTTGACCGGAATGAGTAACTTCCTGGAGTCTGGCTGAGATTCAGGTTTCACTGTCAAAATGAGTTTTACAGGTGCTAGCAGGTGGATTTTGTTACCTGTAGAATGGTTAAGCTAAGTTTTTCCTCCTGTTTCCAGTGTGTGTCTTAAGCTAAGCTAACCAGCTGCTGGTTCCAGCTACATATTTAGACTGATCATCACATCCAACTCTCAGCAAGAAAGCGAATAAGCTTATCTCCCAAAACGTCAAACTATTCCTTTGAAACATTCGATTCAAATAGATGCACACTGTTTGGCTACATCAAGTTGTAACAAGTGTGGCTAATGTAAAATCATGCATACCTGCTGGTCACCAGTACTAGGGTTGGTGCACCTTTGTTATATTTTCCCCCTTCTTTCACGCTCTCTTTCACACACACACACACACACACACACACACACACACACACACACACACACACACACACACACACACACACACAAACGCACAAACGCACACATCTCATCTCTCCATTATTTTCTTCAGGCTGTCCACAATGTCCTCACCACTGGCCCAAGGAACTACATTTGCCTTGAACATGGCTTCCTGGGACTGCTGCATCCCCTGCAGCAGCCGGTGCATGGGGAAGTCCCTCCTGGGGAAGGCCGTGTCTCTGGGCCCCAGAACCAGAGAGGGACAGATGTCATTGGCCCCATCTCCAATATAGAACACCCTCTGGAAGGGGGCACCACCACGCTCCTTTTGCCGAGCCGCCAGATACTCCCGAAGGATCACCTGCTTGCACATGTTGTCAGGACATCGGGAGCACGAGTGGGAGTGGAAAGGGAGCAGCACGAGCCGACCAGTTGCATCAAAACTGGCCGGGTTTGTGAAAATCTTCCGAAAAAGGTGATGCACCCCAGCACGCTTCAGCCACGTCTCAATGAAGTACATGTTGGCGTCTGAGACCACCACTAACTCAAAATCATCCTGGTGGCTCTGCAAATACTGGAGGAGGTTCAGGAGGCCAGGCGTTGGTGGGATCCTCTCTATTGATGAGTGGATGGAGTCCTTAGACACACCCTCCTCCGCCATGTAGGCCAACACCTTCTGCATCTGCTCGTTGTAATGCCCCTCCCTGTAGCTGTTCTTCAGCCAGTCAGGAAGCCGCTGGCCAGGCAGAGCACGCACCACAGCATCATCACTGCTCTCATTGATGATGGTCTCATCAAAGTCGAACAACACCAGGAAGCGCTGTTCCCGTGGCACCGCATGAGTTAAGTTTGATGGAGCTGTCATCTTTGGTGTCTGGAGAAAGTGAGTGGTCCCTCTCTGAGAAAAGGAATGAAACACGATCATAAAGTTGTTTTTTTTCTTTATCAAAGACAACTGATACTGTACAGAACAGTAGTGTGTTATTGCAACCCACTCTAAAAATAAAATGTTAACGGCAGGATGCCAAAACATCACATTGCTGTGTACAGGGAATGAAAGCGCACTGAAACATGCATGGGTTAAGGAAACATCAAAATGTTTAAATACTCTTTATTATGCTGTAAGCTACTGGGGAAACATTTACAAGACACAAGACATTTACAACATTTACAAGAGGAAAGGAAGAGAGCATAGTTTAAATTAAACAAAAGCAACACATAAACAGGATGCCCAAAATGTTTAAATAACTGTGCTGATATGCAGCACACAGTCATACACTTCCTATCCTGATAGCACTTTTCCACAGAGACATTTGTTCATTCCTTTAGGTTTGAGGGGGGAAAAACAACTCACTCGGACATTTGTTTATATATACAGCATGTCTCAGCCAGATCACAGACCAATGCCAGTTCCATATTAACATCGCCAATATATTTGTAGCACAGGGCTTCCACTGTTGGACACGTGTTGTAACTTGAGTGAAGCGGGAGCTGTTATGTCACAGCATACTTTTACCATAAGTGGAACAAACATGAGGGGCAATGTCAAGTCAGCAATGGTGGGATGTAAAAAGCGAATCTATCTGTACTCTACAGGACAGTTTCAATTACTACGTTTGGGGAATTTGTATTTTATGCTACTTTATATTTCTACTCCAATACACACGAGTAATTGCACTTTTTTACTCCTACTACAAAGCCAAAACGCAGTTAATACAAATTTGGTCAAAAGTGAGTTATAGAAAGAATATTTGATTAGCCTAGCTTATCAGAGTAGCTTTAAATACCATATTTAAATGTATTTAGCCGAATTAAATATTATTTAATGAAGCTAACTCATTAGAAGAAAGTGGTTGAAGATATTGTAGAGACTACATTTTCGCTGCACTCTTTAGATTGTCGAAGCATCCAGTGCACTTTCTGTAAATGTTTTTAGCCTTTGATGTTAGGTCTTGGACAATGGTCAATAATTATGTTTTACACTTTATATATCTGTCCTCAGTTTGTCCTCCTTACTTCAAAGCCTTTTTTTTTCTCAACTTCACTGTTTCTGCAGTTACTAGACATACACATACAAAACACATGATCATGTTATCAAATGACACATTCTTGTAGAATACACTAACAGAATATAAAGTAGTTCAAATTACCTCAACCTTGAGCAGATACAACATTAATATTGTATTAATTTATCAGTGACCCTAAATAGTAATAATAAAACAATGGCACAATAATATTCTGCATGAGTACCCTGATATTGATACTCTTGATGATATGCACTTTTTCTTGTAAGTGATTTTGTTTCACAATATGTTTCTACTTTACTTATAGTAAGCCAAAGGTCTGAGAAGGGACCTGCCCTGACAAGGTTCAGATAATGTTACTAGATCAGCCTGTTCGACAAGCAACTTGCACAATCTATTAATGCAAACTGTCTACATCCACACACCACTGTAGCAGAAGGCACTAGGATTATGCCTGACCCTATTGCCTCATAGAAAGTGGAAAGTGCTGCCAAATGATAACATTGACCAGAATTAGATTGGGCCCAAAGAATATACCACATAATCATCAAACAAACAGACTTAAAAATAATTGTATATATTACCTTGTATGTAAAAACACACACATAAAAATATGTTTTGTATAAATTACACATAAATATAGGTATTTATATGCAATGTTCTGGGTTTGCGGGAAGCTTGGCCTGTATGGACATGAGGAAATGCATAGCCTACATACCTTTTTTTTTTTTTTTTTTTTACTGACAATGTCAGCTCATTGACAGTGAGACCAGCTGGTTTGGTGCTCAGGGATCTAAATGTCCTGTAACCTACAGTTTGGTTGCACGGACGCATTGTGCCAAGTGAGCGTGCGCCTGGTCTCCAACAGTAACTACATTATTAATAGGACATATTTACACACTAAGCTATCTAATTTTAACCCCGGAGCGCTATTCCTGTACGAGAGGTTACCACTGAAAGTCATTAGCGCGGCTGTGTCAGGAGTCGTTAGGCTGACCGGGTATAGGCTACTGCACGTCCTAGCGGCAAAGATTAAAAGGCACATTCAAACAGTAAAATCATACACAGAGCAAAAGAAGCGGAGAGAACCCCGTTTGAGGGTTAAGACAGAAAAAGAGGCCTACCGGTGGCGAGCATAAGAGCGGGGATGGTAGGCTAGGTGCCCGGCTCCGGCGACCGCATCCCAGTCAGCATAAAGATTTTTTAAAGGAGACTCCCTCGGCAGCACAGAGGGTATTCCCATTTAAAGCCGCTGCGTCAAGTTGACCCGAGCAAACATAGTACATCCGCCTTCCCCTTTCTAATTAAAAGCACCACAGAAGAACATTCACTTTGGAAGTAATTTACAAAAACAGAAAATAAACCAACGAGCTTAACACTTTATAATACAGCCGTGATTTAAAGTGTAATTCAGTTATATGTATGGCAAACCGTTTTTTATTTTTTTGTTTTTTTTACCGGTTCCCACTGGAATTTAAATGCAGGTAAAATGGAAGAAAACAGTGAGTAGCAACTCAAAATGTTTTCTTTGTAAAATATTATGTCTGAGCTGTTGTATTGGATTGTATTCAAGTTTACAAGTGTACCTAATATCTCAAATACAACTGAAATTGTTATTTTAAAACGAAATTTGTAATTATTTTTTTTAAACACAATTGAGTAAATTCAAATATGGTGAAATCATCATTCAATTGTATGCATGTTATTTACACACTTAAGAGTTGTTCCAAAAGTTACAAATTTATTTCATCATCTATGTGTGAAAAAAAAACTTAAGAATTAATTCTCTTTCACCTGGGATTCGCCTTTTTTTTTTCTTTTTTTGCAAAGGAGATGCTTCCACCTTTCTTAATGTTGTTTCCCACTGGCTTCTCCACCACTGCAGTTCAGTACCACTGATGTAACTATGTCATAAAGTACAGTGTTGTAAATTGTTTAGTGATTTTATATTCAAAGTACATTTTAGTCTGACAACAATATTAACAGATCCACTAATAACTGAGATGATTGAAGATCAAACAGCTGTTGCCCTGCAGAAGAGCCACATGCTGTAGTTTAAACATATGTTGTCACTTTGGCTTGTGCTGGAAAGTTCCATCTAAAAATACATGATGGCATTTCTTTCGAGACAGCAGCAGCTACAAGTATAGGACTGCCATTCACTCCAGACAGCTGAGGCTTAAACAAAGGGCATCTTCTAATTTCACAAGACTGTGTCAAGTATCTGAACTACAAAAGGCTGGAAAAACTAAGATAAATGTCTAGATTTACATTCTGCTGATAAAGAGGAAGGAGATAATGAGCATAATGTTATCACTGCATCAGAACATCAGCTCAGCTCAGCTTCCCCACCCATTATAAACACACTGTAGTCTGTATGCTCAGATCTTTGTGATAATTTGCACAGAAAGATGAGGGAATATAAAATCATACATCTTCAATTTATTTCTAGGTTTTTGGATCAAACTATAGAGGCTCTGTGTGAAGGTTTTGTCTGCGTCTTAGTTTTAATGGGAGATGGGTCCTAAACTCGGCATTCTGTATAACCTACAACACATTTATCAAGGGTGGAGAGTAGCTAAATGCAGGTTCAAGTGTAGCAGGACTAAAGCTACATTATTTTTGCATCACCTGTACATTTGTACAGTGTTTACATTTTATGGCATTTGTACTTCAGACCTTTAAATGTCAGGGTTTCAGATCAGCCAATAAAGCCAATAAATGTGTTTTAAATAAATGGAAGGAAAGCTGAGTGGCATTTATTTGACTCTTTTCCTGTTGCTGATTTATGATTCGATGAAATCTTCATGCGAATGATTAATCTGGGCTATAGCAAAAAAAATTGTTTCATGATTTGAAAAATGCTAAGAATAAAACGCTGTGGTGAACACTGAATTATTGTTTTTTTTGGATGTTTTTTTGCACTGAAAAGGTCAAACTTTAACCCAGGCCTGTTCGGCCAAAAAAAATCCCACATCCCTCATACATGATCATGAGCTGGTCATTGGGGCTTCCTCACAAGAATTGTTTTTTCAGGCAGAACAGGGAGATAAATCAGAGATACTTGAGCAGGCATGTCGAGATCAGATAAAGAAACTTTAGCTTCTCAGATTGGTCTCGACAGGCCTGATACTTTTGCACTGACAGTGGCGACACAGGAACACAACAACTTGTTTATGAAAAGCCAAAATTCTCTGTTGCTTATTCAACTCATGTATAACTACAACAATCCCCATCCAGTTTTACTTAACACAGCTCATAAGATATAATATTGTTGATAATTATTTGTGTTTTAAAAAATTGATGGCTCTGTAGTAACATGAACTATGGGATTTGGAGTAAATGAGTCATAATTTATCAGCGAGGTCCTTTGGGACAGGATAATCGAACAGCTGTCAGTCGCTGAGACTCTGCTCTACATACATGTTAACAGGAGGACCCCTGCTGGTTGCCGTGCATATTTGAGGATAATGCTCAACCAGATAAAAACTGCTTCCAGCTTCAGGTTACTGTTACTTTGCAGGAGAACTGGTCAAATTCACTGGAGGTTGTAAAGTTAAATGTCACTTCAACTAGACTGTTATCACACCCGCGGTTTGTTTTCTTGGCCGCACTTTTCCATTTTGCTGATTTAGGATCACTGCACCAATCACAAGTGGAGTAGGGCTTGATTTCAATAGCATCTAAATATATAATATAGTTTTGTAACCTGTTGTTTAGCGTGGACTCAGTTAACCTTAGGATTTAACATTACCTCACTCACAGTGAAAATAACACTAATTGTAGAAGTCAACAAAAGTCATCATCTCCTTAAAGCCCCTTTAACCATTACGGAAGAGATTCACCAGTTCACAAGCTTAGATGAAGATACGTAGTAACACTTTAATAATACAGGCAGGTTAGTGCCATGTGAACACAGACAGTCTATGCAAGTGTGCATGAAGTGTGTATAAAAATGAAATAAAGGCAGCATTGTTCTATCACACATCAAATCCTTCAGCACTTATTGAGACATGAAACCTGTTCAGAACCTCATGTGTAACAACATGGTTACTTTTAGTAAAAGTTATAAAAAATAAAAAAGAAAGCTAAAGTAAAATAATTCACAAAAATTAAAGTGTGTCTGAATACTTCTTTAACATTTTCTTTTGACTCAAAGGATTTTGACTTTTAAGGCATTCATTAAACAAATGTAACATCTTATTTTGATGAATAAAACATTAGTCCAGACTGTGGAGGATCAACTGTAATTACCTTGGAAACCTGCGTATTTCATGATGTTTCACTTTTAACAAGGCACAGTTTTTAATGGACCACTAGATGTCCCTCGCTGCATGAGTGAATACTCATTCATATACATCAGTTACAGCATATTGATGTCAGATGTTATGGGAAACACTTGTCTCACATTTTAGTGTAGCTTTTAAATGTAGCTGCTATATTCCCTGACTGTTTACATTTGAATGCAATAGCAGGTCTTTGATATAATTATTATATAAATATTTGCAGAGAGGAATTAGCAGACTCCAGTTCCCACTCAAATTCCACATCAGGTCTTACTTCATACTGTGAGAGGGAAACCTGGCCAAACTTAACAATACTTGTCAAAGTGTCCAAAAGAAAAACAAAAATGTCACAAATGTAAATAAAGCATGACATATGAAACTTTGTTACAAGTATTGTTTAGAAATCAAAACAGAGTGTGCTGGAGAGAGAAGGAGGGATCAGAGAGAGACAGAAAGCAGGACAGAGGGTGGAGAGAGGAATGTGAGGAGCTGGTCTAGTGTGGATGGAGGGGAAACTCTTTCTTGTGCTTCGGGAGCGTCTTCTGCGTCACCGCATTGAATTACACCCACAGCTGGACAAAACATTTGAATTACTGAGCTCGAACTCCACTATTATACGCTATCTAAAACTGAAGCTTAATAATCCTTCACTATATGCTGTGAGAGCTTCAAAAATGAATATTGGCTGAGCACAGAAAAAGAAAGTGCACAACAATAGAGGCATGATTAGGACAAGTTGGAGATGAAAGCAAAGCATGATCCCACTTTTTCTTTTCAACTCTTTAACCTACTCCCCTGTGGAGGAATCGCTAAGCACCACATCTTGTACTGCGGTTCTATAAACCTAGCACTGTTCACTTTGATTTTCAGGAGGCAAGAAAAGAATTAGGAAAGCAGCGAATCCACAGGGCAAACTCGAGGGAAGAAAACCTGCTTTCACAAACAGTTTTAGCTCAAGTTCAGTCTGACATTGTTTGGAAGGAAACACACTAGTGATTGCCAAGGCGGGGGAGTCCCGCTAAATGTTATTCACAGTTGACTTGATGGCGGTGGTGAAAGGCTTAAATTTGGCACAAATAAATGAGAAAAGTGCAGTAAGATACTGACCAGGCCATTCCTCACAGCCAAAAGAGACTATTGTCTAACAACACTCATCAAAGAAGAGAGCATGCGAAAAGACACTTTCACCCACATCGTTACAGACATTTCATTAATGCATCTCAATCTGTTAAACTAGACTAAGGTTAACTGCTGCTATTTCTAATTACTTTTACACTGATAAAACACATTTGGGTGGGTAAATTACAGAATTTGATCTATTACAGTTACTAGTTACTTACATTAAATTAATAATCTGTAACAGGTCGCAAGAAATGGCCAAAGCTTAAGTCATGCATTCTGACTACATTCAAATTACTTGGCCAGATTTTAAGTATGATACTGATGGAAGAAAAACAGGAGAAAAAAAAAACGACCACCAGACCAAGATCTGGAAATGTATTTAACGTTTATATACAGACTCGTCTTTTTCTGACACGTTTGATGACGACAGAACCAGAGCCAGTATGTATAAGGCCAGTCAGAGAATATGTTTGATCTTACATGTGTCACAGTTCTGTGAATTAAGTAATTTTGCTTTTATTCCAAAGAATACTAGAGAAGAAGAAGAAAACGTTCATGGATTCAGCAAGAAGACAATCAAAATTTCATATTATTGTAGATTTCAATGTTATAGAAGTTTATGAACTTGCCAGTAAACATTTTATGGAAGAGCTCCATTTTTACATTCCTTATTTGTTGATTAAGCAGATAACTGAATCACACACAAAGCTCTTTTATGCCTTTCCCTTGCATTCTGCAATATAATAAAGCATATATCATGTTAGCTACAATGCATGATGAGTCTTAATCATAACAAGCTGAGCATAAAGCTGTGCACCAATAAGAAGTATAAGACCACTCTTGGGACCATTTCTTAAAAGTTTTATACACACTGGCCCTGGTTTGTTGTTATTACAGGTATCATATAATGTTAGAGCTGTTGTTGAGTTGTTATCATCTGTAATCACAATACATTATTCCTTTGGTAATGTATGAGAATACAGTGAACTTGTGTTGCCAACATAGACACCACACCATAGACATATTGCACAACAAAACTTTAGAAACATTTCAAAATACTGACAAAGAATTCATGGCATCTTGTTTTTTCTTCTAATTTCCTTTCTCTTTTTTTTGACAATCAAACAATATGGAAACTCGTTGAGGAAGTGTTTAAAAATACTATTTAAATAAACACTCTTACTCAATCCTTCTCTGCTTTAACTTCCTCTGTGGCCTCCTCTTTCTTCTCACTGACTTCACTTTTTTCCACATTCTCTCCCGGCTCAGCGTTGGACTTTGGCTTCTCTTCCTGCTTCTTGGGTTCAGGAAGAAGGATGACTTTCCCGATATTTTGGCGCTCGTGCATGCGCCTCATGGCATCAGTTACCTGAAGAAAGACAGGATGTGCACAAAAGTTCATTTTCCGCCTAAAATAAGAGCATATCTCTCACTGTAATGTCCAAAATCTGTTCAGAATTTTGCCACTAACTTTGTGAAAAAGCAAAAACAAGAGAATTTGTTTTAAAGGACAGGTCAAAGGTGTCTGACTGAACACAAAATTAACATATATTCACCATAAAAGGCAATATAGCATTTTAGCTCATGGTTGCTTATTTCGCTATGGTAGCTAACAGTATCCAGTGGTTGTTTGGCACGGGGATACCTGATGGCTTTGGAAATGACGCTGATGAGAATGAATCAAAACAGTAAAGTTGTAGGTTGTAAAAACAATGAGCCAAAAGACGCTAAAATGTTCAGTAAAGTGAGCTGTTTTACATGAGACATAATCATTTGATCCATGTCTAACACTGATTAGAGCAGCTTTAAGAAAAGTACCAACAAAAACAGGTTCCCTGAGTCATCAGTTAGTCAGGTTAAGCCAAGTTATTGTTGTAGTTTAGTAGTTTAGACGGATTTGTTTTGTTTAAACTAATGTAATATAGGTTTTAAAGATTTGAATTGTTTAATGTTATGTTTTTTTTCTGTCCAGATTTTTACCATCTTGAGACCACAGAAACCAGACCAGGAAAAATGTGTTTTCACTAAACATGTCATCCCTTTGATATGCTGTGTTTTTTTACATCTACAGTATAAATAACCGAACCAAAACAGCAGCATATCCAGAGTATATTTTCTTTTGCAGTGACTACATGAACACGCACTAAGGACTGATGAGTCATGGGGAGGAAGGATTAATGAAATAAAAACAATGGATATCTCTGCTCTGTATCTGTGCCATAAATCATCTGCACTTCCTATTATTTCCTGCCTCAGTTATTGTCTGTATCTTGCTCGCAGACGCACAGCCAGGATTGTCTTGCATCATACTCCGGCCTATCCTTGAAACCAGTCAGAGAAACTCAGACATCCCCGCTAGTAGTGGATGCCACGGCAACAATTAAGATCGTCACCTAGCAACGACCCTTAAGTACCATCTCATCTACCACATCTACCACAGCACATCATTGATGGAAAAGAGGAAAACACCGGGAGGAGGGTTTTTTTCAGGTTGGGATGCAGGAGAAGCTTCAGTGGAGCTTCTGTTTTACTGCATCTCATGTCTGTGAATACTGTCCAGTGATGGAGGAAGTATTCAGATCCTTTCCTTAAATAGTAATACCACACTGTAAAAATACTCCATTACAAGTAAAAATCCTCTATTGAAAATATCACTCTAGTAAAAGTATGTAAGTACAATCAGGAAAATGTACTTGAAGTATTAAAAGTAAAAGTATTCAGTCTGTGCAACTGTTACATTATTATATATTTATATCATTAGCTGTATTACTCATGCATTAATGTCTAAGCAGCATTTTTATGTTGGAGTTGGTTGAGGTGGAGCTAATTTTTAACTCTTTTAGTTATCAAATTAGTTTAAGCTCTACTTGTGTTTACTGTTGAGTAGTTTAATTTATAGCAAAGCATCATATTCAATATATTCTTCATATGTTTTGCATGCAAATATTCTAACCTGTAGTAGCAACTACAGCTGTTGGATACATGTGGTGGAAAAAGCTGCAATATTCCCCTCAGAAATGTAGTGAAGGAGAAGATGGCTATTTCCACTCTTTATGCTAAGCTAAGCTAACTGGCAGCTGGCTGCACAGCAGATTAGTAGTGGTAGATACCTAAGCAGTGCTATCTGGCATGCCACTATAGTGGTAACTTTTAGCGATAGAAGATTTACAGTGAACATGATCAAACTAACCTCCTCAAAGTGATAGCATGAGTCGATGCGGGGCTTGATCTTTCCCTGCCTGTAGAGCTCCAGCAGCTTGAACATACACCTGCTGATTAGCTCCTCGTCAGTTATGTAGCCCAGGTGGAAGCCACAGACGGCCTTGTTGGCCTGCATCAGTTTCAGGGTGTTAAGAGAGAGCTGGTTGTACCAGGTCTTTGCCATGGCCAACAGGTTCTTCTTCTGGCCCGTCACACAATTGGCTGCACCTGGAATGACGGAATAGAATAGAAAATCACACAGAGAAGAAATCTGTTTAGTGGTGCCTTTTTCTTGATATTGTTTTTGTCTTTTTGCAAACTTACCGGATATGATATTGGTGTACACTACCTTGGGGCACAGTTAGTATAAAAGAAACAACATGTGCCCTAACACATGTCAAACTGTGACCTTGGAATTCCAATTAAACTTAACAAAAAGGAAATATAAAAACAAGTCCGCACTTTGTTTTCATTTTTTCCAGCTGCGAGGAGCTCATCCATATCCTTTCATTGTGAGACGATAGTGCCCATTAACACCACACTCATAAATGTTTCTGCTGTTGCTTCTCAAGTGTGAATTAACTGCAGAATCAAAACCTGGTTAGAATTAGTGTGTAGTATCCAAGTGGGACATTTAGTCTGAGGATCTCTGGTTACTGGTTAGAGCTGATTGTAGGACTCTGATTTTAAATATATGAAGGGAGACATGTGGGGAAAAGACAGGGACAGCATTACAATGACCTATATTTTATCTTATTTGTACAAATTAAATAGCTTGTGTTGGAGGAAAAAATCTATTTTGCTCCCTTCTTTAAAATTTTTTTTAGTAATATTCCTTTGGGAGGCCTGAGAGTAAGAGATACTGTATCAGCTACTGTGTCAAATCTCATACCTAATCACTATTGCATGTCCTTTCAGTTTTAAGATTATGGAAAACACCATTACTATGATTTAAATGGGATAAAATTCAAGTCATTCCAGCAAAAACAAACCAAAAGTACAAAAACATTAACGCAGACTCTGTTTCTAAATGTCTTACCAAAGACTATAAGCGTTCCCAATGGTTTCAACAAACTAAAGCCTTTCTGGGTGTCTGAGCCACCAAGTGGGTCGAGGACGATGTCCACACCTGCAGAGAGACATAAGGTGAAGAGCTTTTCATGTCTCTGTATCAATTTTCATATCGAAGACACAAAAGACTGGCGAGGAAAGAAAGGTGAGGCTTCGAGGTTTTTGTGCTTAAACACTACAGTGTGCAGAACAAGAATTTGACAGGAGTCTCTTTTTCTCACCCTTTGGGTTGATTTTGCGGATTTCCTCCACGTAGTCTTTGGTGCGGTAGTCAATGGGGTGAGTTACCCCGCCTTGAGCAATGGTCTCATGCTTGGAGGCTGACGCTGTACCAAACACAGTCACATCCTGCACCGTCTTACACAGCTGGGTAGCGGCAATACCCACACCACCTACAGATGTGCAGACAGTAGCACAAACAGACTTGAGAACAGTAGCAACAGTCAGGTTTTCTTTTCACTTTCAGCATCAGACCTTCTGTGTGTTCCCTCTCAGTGATTTAATCATCAGACAATAAAATTACACTGGCTTTAAGTGCTGCGTTAGCACAGTGCTGATCTCATAGAAAGAATGACTGAGTACAGCTACTTCCTGCCTGACTCACACCTGATTTAATAAGCACCTAATAAATAAGAGAGTTGATTGAACATATCTTTCCACTATCTTCAACAAGGACTGTAAAGCAACACAGATTCCTTCATTGAATGATCTGAACAACTTCAATCCATTTTTCCTCTTCTCCTTTTAAAGATAACTGAAATACAGAGAAGTATAGAGTATGTTTATATTATACACATACCATTATATATACACAAGACTTTCATATACAAGTGGAAACTGGATTTAAAGGGTTTAAAATGTCACCCATAGATGATAGATTAAACCTTAACAGCGGTGGGATTGGGGTAAGTTTCATTTCTAATAACAACTCCAGGGGCGGTAGTGGAATTGAAGTGAAGCAATCTTAGGGTGGTTGACTTCTTGGAAGACTGAGGAACAAACACCTGAACTAGCAAACAGCACTTCCTGGTCTCTATGGCTTCGTAGCATTTCTTTTTTTTTTTTCTTTTTTTTTTTTTCAAAAATGATGACCGCCTGGGAGTGCTGGATCAACACTAATCCTCCATGCCCTCTTCTTCACCCTGGCCTCGTGTGGCTGATTCATACAGGTCAGCTGACAACCACCCACTCAACACTGAAGCATGGACACAGAAGAGCACTAGAGCGTGATGGTGGATGTTGAGATGCTGACAATAGCTGACCTTTATACTTGGACTACGAGTGGCTGTCATATCCTGAGCAGCATCTATTAACGCTTTAATCTTGACTTTAAGAGTGAAAGAAGAAGAAAAGACACAATCACTCCTGAGAAAATATACTTTTCTGTTGCAACTCATGAAATCTCCATGGTTATACAACTGAACTGTCTTTGGTGTGAGGAACATCTGAGCCTGTGTCTCAGGTTTAAACATTGTTAAAATAGCAGTAAGTCACAGGTAATGTTCAAACAGGACTTTATTCAGATTTTATCTAAAACTTAACACCAGTGGACATTTTGCTACAGCTTGGTGGCTAAAGTCATAATAATTCTGATCCTGTTCTGATTACTTTAATGCTACTAACACCTAGTTCATTTAAACACCTGAACACACGTAGGAAATGAGACATATTTGCTTGTTACAGTGCTGGAGCCCCTTTTTGAAATGTCAGCTGTTGCCAAAGCAACCGTGCCTGCACACTACATCCTCACCTGTGACCGATGGTCTCTCGGCTGATAATTTTTCAGCACAGAAATGTGGCTGCATTCAGAGGAGTGATTAGTGACCTGGAGCTTTGTTACTCTTCACATGTTGCCCGGGAGACTGGGGGAGATGTTTATTGGGTTTATTACACTGAAACAATTAAATCACAGGGGAGACTGTCTGCCCAACCTTGCAGCATGGTGAGTGCCACTGATAGAATTTGAGGAGATTAGTCATGTTTAAAATCACAACTTTGATTTATTTCTCCATGAAACTGAAAAAAAAAATTTGCTCATCACAACTTTCAAGAAAAGAAAATAAGAAAAAAAAGAATATATCTTCACATTGCTTGATTTTTGGGCATTTTTTTGCCAGATAAATGACAACTAATTTATTATTTATATTTTTATTACTGGATTTATCATAACTAATAATACATAATAATATACATCTAATTATTATATTGTCAGATCAGACACTGATCATTTGAGAAAGGGGAACTATATCATTTATTTGCACATCACAGTGTCAGTCAGTCATCACTGATTTTATTTTGACAGAACAGGGGGAAATGATGCAGGATCCTTCACTCTTTACATTGGGCTATATGTACTGTATATACTGTATGCATCTTACCTGCGGCCATGTGTATAAGAATGCTCTTTCCTGGCCTCACGTTGGCCATCTCAAACAGCATCATGTAGGCAGTGATGTAGTTAACAGGAAGAGCGGCGCCTTCCTCAAAGCTCATCTGCTCAGGCATGGGGAAGGTGTGGTCAGCGGACACAACGACCACTTCCTGCCACATGCCGCTGCGACTCAATGTGATGACACGGTCTCCCACCTGAGGGAGGAGAGGGAGGAGAGGGAGGAGGGAGAGAGTCACTGAGGGGATCACGGTGATGATGATTATTTGCGGGCAGCAGAAATATTCATTTCCTGATGTTTGTCAAGATCTTCACATCAGCTTAACATTTAGAGGGTTGGCTCACCAGGATTACTAAAAAAAACATTGTATGTAGCCATGCAAATATTTTTGGTTTAATTTGTCCAGTTTTTGACAGTTTTGTCTTCACTCCAATACAGTGGAGGTAAACGGAAATTTTTATATGTAGTTTTCACAATATTGAAAAAGTACATTTAATTAAGGCTAAGAGTTAACGGCCATGTTAGGGACTCTGTGAGGCCGAGACAGGAGCGTGCACGCTACAATAATCACAGTAACAATGATAATATGCTGACGCTAAGCAGGTATAATGTTTACCATGATCACCATCTTTGTTTAGCATGTTAGTAAGGAAACATGGTAACAACTGAGGCTCAACAAGGGCGTCAAAAAGCCAAAAATGTTAACCTCATGGGGGGTGCTAGCTAAGTGCTATCATTGGGATTCATCCTCTGTGAGCCATGAATGTTTGTGCAGAATTTACAGACAGTCCAACCAACAGCTGAAGAGAGATTTCAGTCTGGATCAAAGTGGTTTGCCTACTGACCAACCCGCACTGCCATCCATAGAGCAGCACTGCTAGAATGGCTAAAAATTAAACAAAAAGTGTCTTTCCAGGGTGAAAAAAAAGTCCCTGTAGCTGTGAATAATCTGCAGATGTCACTGTGAACATTTGGCACAGGCGCTACTTCTTCAGTGGAAAGTAGAAAACGAAAATGTAATCACATCCATTGCATTAGGGTGGAAGCAGAAATCTGAGAGACATATCTCAAATAAAACTAAAACTAGCTGCATGAACATTAGAGGTGGTGAGAAAACATGATTCCTAATCACTCCAGGTGAGCTGCCTCTGAAAGACTAAGAAGGGAAGAGTATGGGACAGACGTGTGAACATGTGAGAGAGAAGTAATTGCTTCTTCTGTGAGCTCAGTTTCTTGTGTCACTTTGCTCTTGACTATTGGAGACAGTGAAGCCGTTTGTTTTTCCACCTACAGTTCATCTGGTGGAATCAAATGACAAATTGAGGTCAAGCAGTCAGGAAGCAGGAAGTCATCTGATGTATCTTTGATTTGAATGACACCAGGGCCAGTTATTACACTGCTGCTCTATGTCAATATCCACATTCATCCTTACAAAAGACTCGTAGGTAAAAGTATAGAAATTAGCGCTGCAGCTAATGATCACTCTTATGATTGTTTATTCTGCTAAATATTTTCTCAGTTAATCATTTGTTCCTGCGTTGTGTGCAGCTTTCTCCCACAGAGATGTGCTCTCATTAAAGTATCACCGCCTTGTCCAAAAAAAAATAAATAAAAGTGAAGGGCACAGGAAAGAAGTCTAATCTGACTATGAATGCTGCACTGCTTCCTGTTAAAGCAGCTTCATGAGCACTGAGCCACACCCACTTCCTGCTGCACACAAACCCGTGTCAACAGACAGATTTATACATATATAAAAATATTAAAAACACGCACACATGCACAGGCAAAACTGACACATTTTGGGTGATTGCTGCGGGGAGATAACTCTTAACACTTCCACTTTTGATGGTCTTTGTGTGTAAACTTGGATGACATGCTCGTTTTTGGGTTCATAACATTTCTCAACGTCTGGTGTTATGAAACACTTTCAAACCCCCTCTGGGTGAACTCAAAAACGCATGACAGTCAATTCAAAAACAGCTGAGCTCAGTTCCTGGAAATCTGACGTGAACTTAGCCAAAATAATGTTCGAAAGTAGGACAGTGAGGTTTGTGTGGAAACCATTACAAAGTTTATGCCAGCAAACTAAGTGTGACAGTACAGCTTTCCCCACTGCTTGTGTCAATGCATGACGATATAAACACGGTGTGAGACGTGTCACTTCTTGCTGAAATCTTTATGAACATGTTTAACTATCACCGTCTAACTGGACAAACACTCCTCAATAGCAGACAAGAAAAAGCATCTCCAACCACGGCAAAATATGTTGCTTTGTGTGTTTTACAATGCTCACACACACAGACGGGCCGTGCTGGAAGAAGTACTCAGATCTTTTGTATAAGTACAAGTACTAGTACCATAATGTAAAAGTACTGCATTCAGATTCCTACTTGAGTAAAAGTATGAAAGTATTAGTGTGACTAGTGGCGAGTGTAAGCACTGTTTTACTGTTGTAGCTGGTCAAACTGGAGCTTTGGAGGTTCCCAAAGTAAGGGTCAGGCCGATCCAAAGGGTCACAAGATCTGAGGGGTCATGAGATTATTAATGGAGCAGGAAGTTCTTCTCCACAAATATCCAACCTTTTGGTTTTTTTTTTTTTTTACACACATTTCGCTAATCTTTTCTGTTATTTATAAAATATTAGATAATTTTACTCCTTTGGGAACAATTATTGAAACGTGTCTCATAGACAAATGAACGTTGACCCCAACTACACATTGTTTGTTTGTTTTATGTGTATGAAGTCACAAGCCAAAAAAGTAAGTACTTAAAAGTAAGTAAAGTTTATCATATTCTGTTTTAGGTCAAATCTCCATCTGCAAAGTAGCCGAACTAAAGCTGCCATGTAAAAGGGAAACACTCATGTTACTCTCAAGTGCATGTACCTCAATATAGTACTTGACCGGCGAGCACTGTACTGACCTAGCTACAGAACACGTTGCTTCCCTCATCACATAACAGAAAGTTGATTAAAGAGCTTATTTGCAGAACAGATGGTGTGTGTCTTTCAAAGCGACCAGTTGGAACAGTTTAACAAAGAAATCGTGGCTCTCATCTTCCAAATATCAATCAAGAAGCGTGAGGCGTAATCACAGTCCGTCCTCTGTGACGAGGTAATGCAGAATCTGGAATCTGAAAATGCAAACTGTAATGGGATCCTACATTAACACATCTGCTCTATCTGCTTCCCAAGTATCGTATGAAGCAGCCACACCCTTCTGGGCTAGTCTGGAGAAGCCTCTCTGCTTGGTCTGCCCTGTCAATCTCTGAAAACACCGTGGCTTCCCCCTCTCGTACTGTCTGCTGCTGTGTGTGACTGCAGTACGAGTCCCACCACAGCCCCACCCAGTTTCTTACTCTAACCTAAACCAACCACCTCCAATCCTTAACCCAAACACATTTGCCCCCCCCCCCCCCCCTAAACTTATCAATTTTTATACTCATACATTTTAAATACCCTGCTTCCTGCACTGCTATATCTGGTGTTCTGTGGTATCTCATGTTTTGCTGCTTCCTTCCAAAAAAAAAAAAAAGGTGTAGGAACGCACCACTCCCCTTGTAGGATTCTTGTTCTCCGAAAATGGATAGATGGATGGAGGGAGGAATGAGAGGAGGGAGGGATAGGAGTGTAGTAAGAGCCAGAGGAGGAGGAGGGGGGAATTCCATAGTGACACTGAGGGTCAGGGAGGGGTTTTAGTCATACTTACAGATGGATGCATGTCTGCATGCACACAGCCGCGGTTTGAGCCTCATTTGTATTGACATTACATTGGATTCACAGAGCTGAGCATCTGATGTTCTGAAAAATATGAACCATGCAATGTTTGGAAGACCAAGAAGGTTGTTTTCCAAGACTTAGTACTGAACTGAAGATTTCTCCAAAATCATTAAAGACTCTTACAACAATTTGGATAAAAATATATTTCATTGGTTGCAGCATAAAAAAAATAAAAAAATGTATCCCATTTTACAACTTGCGATCCCGTTTCCTATCCAGAAAGTACATATATCCTTATTTTTTGTAATGATGCAAAATATTTATGTGTTATTTGGGATGAAAATATAAATTATTGGACAGTAACATCAATATATACCAACATTAGTAATAAGAAATGTTTAAATTTTAGTTCACATTGTGTAAACTGAGCAAAACCATGTCATTCCAGGCTTCCATCCTTGTTTGGATTAAAAAGGTTCAACGGTTTAAAATCATTTTTTATCAGGCAGATAAAAGAGATGATGGAATATTTTTTCGTCCAGATAAAATAGTCTTTTGAGGATTGTGCAAATACCTTCAGAACAGCAGAAAGTGTTGTAAAGTGATCTTCTGGGAATACATTTTTTCAGAAACCCAGATGCATAGCAGTGTGACTCGAGAGGCACAAAGCGGGGGTAGGATGCACAATAATGAAATGTGCGAAGTTCACTGAATGCTTCATTTGTCTTGAAAACATTGGCGCAGACGGCAGATCAGTTTCCACTTATTTTGATCCTGCAAAATGTTTCTTTGCTCTGAAAGGATGGCAATATTCAGAAAAATATGAGAGGATCATCATCAGAGTTCTTCCTTGATGTATGCCTGGGAGTCATCTGTTGCTGAGATTTCCATACAAAGCAAATAATGCGCCTCTTATCAACCCAGTGACACAGCTGCTGAGTCCCTGTTACTCATTCAGCTGTGGGTGTTTTCCCTCATCCATATACATGAGTGTGCGCACACAGTAGCTACGTAAGCACCTCCAGTTAAAGATCAACAGAGATGGTGTAAAAAGATCCTGCTGCTTTGATTGTTTTAACCAGCGCAGGAAAACACACCTGAACCTGCCAAAACTAGAGAGTTTTTGAAAAAAGCTGTGACGTAAAATCATGGAGGTCGCTTGCAACGGGGTCACTTTGCCTTCATCCTCTATCTGTTCGTGTAAACATAAATGTCGTACACATAACCTTAGCATCCTTTGGCCTCAGGATCAGCTCTGCAGTGTCTCTGGAAAATGTGCTACAACTAGAGGACACAGGTAGGCTTCACACAGACCAATCTGTGCATGACTGGATTTAAATTACAGGTACTCACATCTCGCATCCCCAAAAGCAGAAATGGCATAAAAACAAACTCCAGGCTCTCAAATGTGGACATTTATTGGGTTTTATGCATTTTAAGGAAGCACAGAAACATACTATCTAAATGTTTTGCACCTTTTCATCAGACTTAATAAATGAAAACTCCATAAAACCCGACCTTTGGAAAGCTCTTATCAAAGCAAAGGTAAATGTACTGTTGTGCCAGGGAGAAACACTTCAAGGACACATTGTAAATCAAACACTTACTATTCATAATGGCAGGATGTTACATTTTCCAGTGAGACAGCCTCTTTCCACGCAGTTTTTCAATTATGGAGACTACAGTACATTAATAGATAGGACAGATGGAGGGTATAAGAGTGGCTGCTTTTTTCAGTCTGCATATAAATCATATTGCATACAGATGTTTTAAAACTTAAAACAAAAAGGGCAAAAATGTCTTAACTGATTGTTAATGGTTCAGAAAGGAGTGTCCATAAAAAAACACGTCATTTAAATAATTTTGAAAATTGTTTTGTGTCTACAAAGCATTTAACTGGGTCTTCCAAGAAGTCAGGGAACATATTAATATGCTTTTCACATCAAAGGCCAAGACTTTATAGGTTTTCTTGATTTCTCTACAACTTTCACAAAAGAAAGGGGGTGGGGACTAACGAGAGACATAATCTGGTGTAGTGTTTGGAAAAGATTAGGAGCATGTTTTGGCCAGGAATGAGAACTAATTTGCCTTTGAGGATCAACTGGCTGCAGATTTCCTCACACTCTCAGTAACTTGTGAGTGAACTCAGCTGCTCAGTTTAAATACACTGCAAACTACATCCATAGCAAGCAGCTTCGCAGCGCATGTGGATGTTGATAATGGGTAATGTGGTATGTAGTGGGCGTGAGTGCATTCAGCAGGCCTTTACTCACTTTCCTGTCCTTCACATCCTCCCCGACTGCCTCGATGACACCGGAGCCCTCCATTCCCATCGTGACCGGCGGGGCTGGCAGCATCTCGTACAGCCCCTGTCTGCCCAGCAGCTCGGCGAAGTTGAGCCCGCACGCCTTGACGCGCACCAGGACCTCTCCTGCCTTCAGCTGCGGCTGGCTCTGCGTCTTCACCTGCAGCCTGACTTTGTCGTAGCCCCCGTACCCCGTCAGGACCAAAGCGCGGCAGGAGAGGGGCTTCTCCTCGGCTGCTGCAGGGCTGCTCCCGGGCTCCTGCGGAGCATCCGAAGCAGCCGGTGGAGGCTCATCCGGCTTCTTCTCCTGCTCCGGCTGTTGTTGCTGAGTTGGAGCTTCTTCACCAGACATGATAACCACTTGTGATGTGCGCTCTGTAGGTTTTCAGCCCAGATCAATAGTTCAGCCTGACTGGGCGTTCCTGGAAAAAAAGACTAGAGGAAAAATAAAAGAAGCCTGTTGAACGCAAATATATCCGTTTCATAAAATAAGATGCTCCTCACTGAAGACAGTCAGATCCTTTGCAAAATGAGATTATAACTGCGTGGTTTCCTGTGTGCGCGCTGCACTCAACAAGTGCCCAGTGTCAAGACGGGCACAATAAAAACACCAATTCCAGTTTTGATTTTCACAATAAAACACCTCGATTCTTCATTACGATTTTCTAGCCTAATCTTGAATTCGTAATTTCGATTAAGAAATCCTAAAATCGAAATTACACTCCTCATTTAATTCCAGGGTGATACCCTATTGATATTTCAAAGATAAAGAAAAAAGGCAAAAAAAAAAAAAACATTTAAAAAAGCATTGTGCTGGTGACAGACATACAGACAGATAGGTAGAAACAATGTCAAATAAATAAGATTTTATTAATGAATCCATTAGCATTTTATCTATCAAAGTTAGTCCCAGCAAACCATAAAGTTCTCCTGATGCTTTGGGCGTTGTTGTGGACGGGATCCGGTTTTTAACACTGATGTTTTATAAAAGAAAAAAAAAGGTTTTATTTTGAATGTGAAACCAGGAACCTTCCGGTGCATTTCTAGTTGTTTTCAGCTGACTTGACGCAGCTCACAAAGTGACCAACCCGTTTTGTTGGCAAAAAGCTCAGAGATGTGAGCCAGAGGGCTGCGGAGAGCTTCAAACCCCGGACACTGGAGCGCTGGGAAGGCGAAATGGGATCATTTGAGGTCTCATGCAGCTCCCACCCACCTGCCTTTCAAGTTAAATAATATTAAGACCACAGTATCTGTTGCATGCAGATATGGATTAATTATTGGTCACTACTTCTCCTGCAATAAAAATGTCCCAGTCTGAAGTGGGCTCACCCCCACATACCCCCCATGTAGCTTTGAGACATTTTTAAGTTATTTGAAAGAGCCTAATCTTACTGCCTTAAGAGAAGAAAAACAAGAGGAGTGATATAGTCTATTATTTGAATAGCAAATGATGTATTTCAGACTTTAACAGTCTGTAAACCTGGATGTGAAACACCTGGCACAGCTGCACAACTGATATTAAGACATATTCAGGGGAAACATTTGCAGTGAAGGCCATTTCCTTCACAATGGCAATTACTTATCAGCCAACACACAGAGTCTCTGCACACACACACACACACACACACACACACACACACATCACACACCCACACTACACACACACACACACACACACACACTGTTGTGCCCTGCAACTGGAGCTGCTTTCTCATCTCGTCACAGTGGTAGAGTTTGTCAGACAGGAAGTGAACGGATGGTGAGAAAGAACAAGGTAATTTTCAAAAGGGAAGGGAATTTCTTTTTTTGATATGAAGACGTGTGGAAGGTACTTAAGTTGCTTTTTTACACTTCCTTCATTCATTCCAATCAAGCTGAGAGGAAGCTGCCAGGAGTGTGTCTACTATACAGACATGTACACTGGTAAACACATAACCACACTAGCATCAACTCATACACACATACAGTGCACAAGCTCTTGTGTACACACAAATACACACAGCCTGTACAAACATGGTGTTAGGTGGGAAAACAAACAGTAACTAAGTCTGGTCTGAGGGAAATGTGGTAAGTAGTCTCAGATGCCACACACACATACACACACACAAACACACACACACACACACACACACACACACACACACACACACACACACACACACACCAGTTTTTCCTGTCACACTCAGGATGTTTTTGAATGCACAATGTGACTACTTGTTGGTGAAAAGAAGTTGTTGTTTGAAAAGGTTCTAGGTTCTAGCCTTAATAACCAATCAACAATTTTTACTCTTGCACCATATTTTCCTCATAAAAACTGTCCAGATTGAATTCAGACCTACCTGTGAACTGATTTAAAGGGAAGTTCACCCAAAAAAAAGAAAAAAAAAACACCAGCAAAAGTAAAAATAAACAAAGTAAGAAGTTGTCTTCATATATTTTTAAAATCAGATGAGCAAGCCATCACTCACCCTTTCAATATTTGATTCCAAAAATGTAAACAGTTAATCTATAATGAAGCATATTTACTCAAGTATTTTACTACACTTCTATTCCTCATCATTTCAGGGGCAAATATTTTACAACAGACAAAAGCTGCTGTGACTTTTTATAATATGATGCATTATAACAGATGAAACTCCACAAAAGTATATTTAGTAGTTAAATTTGCCACAAAATGAAAGTTCTACTAAAGTGTACAATACAATGACAAAGTGTTCGATTATTCTGACATGAAAAGGAGCCATACTGCATATTAGGTATGTTTACTTTTGATAGTTTCGGCACATTTTGCTGAATATAACATTCTTCTATACTTTTACTTTTGTAAGATTTCGAAGGCAGGGTTTTTATTTGAAGTGAAGTATTTTTCCCTTCGTGGTATGGCTACTTTTACTCGTGTACAGGATCTAAGACAGAAATGTTGATTCCTCAACCATCATGAGAGCATGGAAGGGAACAAAACATACTGTTAAATAATAACAACAATCATGTGAAGAACAGAGTGGGGTCCATATTTACTGTACAATGCAGTCTTATGTGCCTACTTTGTTTGACCAGAAGATGGCGCTGAGGCACTTCTCAGAGGTTGTTTCTATTAAGCAATGCCAGCTCACTGATCCTATTACAAATGACAAACAGCCTATGATGAATTGAATAATGTAATTAAATAATAAACACGTACAGTCATTCATGGGCTACCGAAATAGTCAGAATACACACGTCTGGGCACAGTAAAATGACAATGAATCGAGTATCTTTTCGTGAGCCTGTGTTTGTGAGTACACACTATACTGTGTAGTACATTGGTCTGTTGACTTGGGTCATGGGGATAATGATAAAGCAAAACAGTACAATTTCATGCAGGTTTTACTACATTAAAGATATGTCAGATTTTCTCTGCTGTGTGAACTGGGATCATTATAACTCAGAATGTGGGCAGTGGATAAACATTTACAATTCACATGTGCTACTATGGACTGTTTGGGACAATTGATATTGATGTTACAGTTCATAATGTAATGTCTGTCGCTTGAAACGCAAGATGAGTACATTAAGTCAGCCAGAGACAGCCAGAGGAAGACAGGAAGTACGAGGGTTTTGCCTTCGAAATAAAAGCATTATAAAAATAATAGGCCTAATAGTGGTAAGTATTAATAATAAATAGACCTGTTGATTTGTTTTTCTGTGTAAAAGTTTTCCAGCCTTAGTAAGGTTTTTTTGTTTGTTCTATTCATTTACATTGGCAAATACGTAAACTGTATGTCTCCTTATTTGTTTGCAGTTTTTACTTTGAAACGTCTAACAGGAAATTCGTTTTTAATGACGCGATTCTGACAGGTATCACCAGTGTGCCTCACTTCACCGGTGGAGCAGAGGAGCGCAGCATTACGCAGAGCATGTAGCCGAAACTACACCAGACTGTGGAAGTTGAAGTTTTCGCTTTGTTTTTACGACATTTAGATCTTTGCCTCGTCCCTCAACTTGTTCGGAGCTAAATGACAAGTAGGCAGAGGCACAGAACCATTGAGTGATACAAGGGGCACGATGGAGAGCAAGGGATTACTTCGCTGTAAGATCGTGGTGGTCGGTGATACGCAGTGTGGCAAGACGGCTCTCCTCCACGTTTTTGCCAAAGACTCGTACCCAGAGGTAAGAGAGAACATTTCATACGGAGAGACACATGAGTGATGACTGCAGCGCAGGCGTGTGGAGTCCCCGAAACCACACGGCGCGACAAAGTCTCCATCTGCCCTGAAATTTACACCAAAACTTCTAAACCTTTTCACACCATCAGTTGGGAGCTGATTGATAACTCACAATTTATTCATTTACATTAATTTCTTTTGATGTATTTTTCCTCCTTTATTATCACGAGCTGACACGCTGTATTAGACCAGATGTTGCCCAAAGGGGATTTCGTTACAGAGGTTAAATCTTTCTTCATCATATAACTTTTTTGCTGGATCTTTGTTGTCAGTTATTATGTAAAAATGGGCCAAAATCAAATATAGACTCTTTCAGGCTTCAGATTCGTGTCCATTCAGCTGTGAACTTGTCACAGAAATCCGGGCCCTCTGCGCTTTTACGCATCAGTCCGGTCTGTAAATACGGAAGGATCACGGGTTTGACCACAGCAACAGTCACAGTGAGCACAACTGCCTCTTAGCAACACAGTGAATCACCAGTGTTTTCATATGGCAGTTAAATACTGTGAATGTCTTAATTAGAACAATCAGCATTAAACCGTTCACACAAGAGAGTTTATCCTTACTGACTGGATGACTTCCTCTTAATGATTTTCATCATAAAAAAACAAAAAAAAACGACACGATAAGCAATTTGAAGTCATCAGGAAGAATAAAGGTTTGTAATATTTAAACCTTAAATATTTTGGAGCTAACGAACACTATCCAATGAGCAGTGAACATTTTGGACAATATCAACTGAGATTTTAAATGGATAAATATTAGAACATATAATTTCCATCAAACCTGTGTTGTAGTTTTGCCAGTATGTTGATAACAATTCAATATCAGTACATATATAATGCAGTTAATTTGTAGATATTGTACTGAAAAAAACAAAACAAAAAAAACTAAATAAAGAAAAGATGTACAGATGTGGGCTAAAATGTCTTCTGTAATTGTTGAGGTTTTCTTTTTTCAATTGAGCTCTCAAACTGTTGAGGATAATGAAATCAGGGCTTGTTGACCTAAATTTCTGAATTTGGAAATAGGTCAAAGCTTAGAATTGGCCTCATCTACTTTCCACGCACACAGGCCTCTGATGTTCATCACGGCACTATCATCTGCACCACAGCTACTTGAATTAATTAGTTTTTTTTCTTCCCCCCCAACCATCACACTATCTTGATGTCCCTTAATTTGATTGTTTCGTGTAATGAAAATCACAACAAACTTCCAATCTAATTTTCGCCACGCACACGTCTCGTTTCAGAATTATGTTCCCACGGTGTTTGAGAATTACACAGCCAGCTTCGAGATCGACAAGCAGAGGATCGAGCTCAACATGTGGGACACGTCAGGTAGGACGCACTTTGGGTTTGGTTTCACCTCTGCTTTGTGTGGCCAGATTATCGTGCCAATGAGATTAAACCTGAGCTGCATCATCATCCTGTGAGGTTATTCATACGAGTCCTTGGAGCGTGCGCCGAAAACATGAGCAACCACAGCTGGAGTGTCGGGAGTGTGGTGAATGAGATTTTTCTAAGATGTGGACACAGCGCTGGCAGACGCTGAACTTGTCTCTGTTCATACAGTGTTTATGTAACTCCACTCCTGTCACCACCTTCACAGTCAATGTGACACTTGTAGTTCGTTTTGAACAGCCACTCCAGAGTTATATCAGCTCTGTGAGAGGATAAACAACTCCTCATTCAACACTTGCCTGCTCCAAGTATCTGTCACATCATAATCAACACTTAAGAGCTTGTAAAGATGGCGGCATATGCGACTTTATTACAGTTAGAATTGGCATCATGAGTTTTTCCAGTGTTTAAATAAGTTGATTTTGTTGTTTTGAGTTAACAAGTGTTGATGTCTGAGTTGTTTGTCCACTCCTAGTGCTGATGTGGCTTTGGGTCAGCTGTTACAAACTATAAAGTTAAGGCTAATGTGTGAGTAATAAGTCATTTTGTATTTCTGAGACAGAGAGAGAGAGAGAGAGAGAGAGAGAGAGAGAGAGAGTTTGTGGAGCTCAAACAGTCAGATTCTCTCAGTCTCCGGCAGAGAGCTAACTTTCTCCCTTTGTCAGCCTTTAGGCCCTTTCACATTTCATTTCCACTTCCACAACAGCACCCGAAAACTTGTTCTCACACAACCAGAAAGCAGCTTTGATACGCAGCGTTCTATTAGCCACCACCCATGCAGACAGACAGAAAGACCAGCTAGACAAGCTGGAGATTAAGAGCTGCAGCTGCTGAGGCTGGTGTTGCCTGTTGGTTCGCAGTGGGTGAGGCCACTCCACTGTGTTTGAACAACACCCATTTAAAATTAGAGGTTGTTTCTCTCTCTCTCTCTCTCACACACACACTCTCACACACACACTCTCACACACACACTCTCACACACACACTCTCACACACACACTCTCACACACACACTCTCACACACACACACACACACACACACACACACCTTTCTCTCACCGAGCTATGTGGTGTTTAACAATTATACCATAGCAATGCTTAAACAGTAATTTACTCCACCACAAGAAAAAATGCAATTAATCCTTTTGTGTGAAGCATGTGTCATTCATTATTATGTCATATTAACACAATAGAAAGCAAACATAGTGGACATAGCATTCTCAGGTGTGAATGAATGAACTTTTATGAACAACTTGTATGGTATTTCTGAAAAAGAGCCTGCATGCTCAGCACAGCGTTGCTTAACCTTCTCCATAAATAAATTTAACAAAGTCTATTCCTATCTGAGCATGTGTGCTACTGTCAAACAAAATAGGTATTACTTTTTAATAAGGATTATTTTTTAAAGGGTTTTACGAGGATACAGATCAGCCAAAGGAATTCTTTACATCCTTGCAACGCAAATGCTGAAAATATTAATGGCTTCTAACTTATGAAGCAATAACTGTTAGTGTTTAGTGTTTATATAACCATTCACTATAAGTTAGAAAGTTTGCTAAATTGTACTGAAAGTTAAAGCGGTAAAAGTAAAGAAAGGACCTTCATGGCGCCAGGGTTTAAAGGAATAGTTCAACATTTTGTAGTATTAATAATAATAAGCTGCAGACAGGAGGCGGTTAGCTTAGCTTAGCACAAAAACTGGAAACAATATCTGCCTAAAAGCACCTGTAAATCTCACTGATTAACACCCTATATCATGTCTGTTTGATATGTACAAAAACCAACAAATTTGCATGTCTGTCAGAGACAAAGAAAAAGGAGAGAGACTGGAGGGAAATGATAGCAAAGAGATATGTGGCAAAAAAAAAAAAAAAAAAAAACACAAATTATCTAGATGTGAAAATTGTTCAAATTATGCTAAGTGAAATTGCCTTCACTTTCTGTCTGAACACACCTTTAGAGGAGCTAATAACCAGATTTTTTTTTTTTTTTAACCTTTAGACAGAGGCAGTTTCAGCTGTTTCCCAATGAAATCCAGTTTTTATCTTACGCTAAACTAGCTAGTTGTTGGCTGTAGCTTCATATTTGCTGTATAGACAAAAGAGTGGTGTCACTCTTCAAAATATCACTTGATCACCTGAATGATCCACATTATGACAGGTGATCCATGTCTGACCTGAGCTGGCTTCTTCCAGCTCTCCATAAGTCACTGAGAGGAGACGTGTGCGTTGCCTCGCAGCACCCCTATGAGCTATTCTGGGTCAGTCTCAGGAGACAGGTGCATCAACACCTACATGAGTATTAAATTCCCTCTGGGACCTGCCTCTTCATACTAATGACTGAATAGGGAGGTGACTGGCACTTGGCATGCTTACAAGGATGGTTTCGTGTAAGCCTATAATACCCTTAAGTTTTTATGCCTCGGCGCCAGGCATAATGTTTTCAGGTTGTCTGTCCGCAATGTACGTACTGTATGTCCATCAATCCATCCATACGTCCCATTCCCACACTAATGACCCTCAATCAACGCTGTAACTCAGAAGGGGGAGATTGTGACCATATTTCCTGCGATTGATTGGCAGAGGCGGTAATTCTAGTTAACGTTTGGTCTTGCTTACATTTGCTGTTTCTTATGCAATCACAGTTGTGTTTGAGTATGTGTCCGTGTGTGTGTGTGTGTGTGTGTGTGTGTGTGTCCGTGTGTGTGTGTGTGTGAGTGCATGTATTCACAGGCATGTGCAGGCATGCGTAAGAGACAGCAGGGCAAATGTTTGTAAGCATTCAATTTGTCTGTGTATGGCATGCCACTGTGTGCAGCTTGCATGACAGCAGGTGAACTGAAGCATTGAGAGCGAGGCCGTGACTGAAACTCAGACATGAAACAATTATCATAGATAGATCTGTTGTGTTTTCATCACCAAGTATCATAACAGTTTGTTTTGAGTGCTTGAAATAACAGCAGCATTATATAAAGTCACAATAACAGGCTATTTTCAGTGTCAATGCTCCATCAAATTTCAGACTTGTCCTGCTGACGTCGTATTAATTATACGTTTTTTAAATTCATTCAGAAAGTGCTTTTAACAAAAGAGATTTGTTGTAAGTGGCTTCAGAGAATCGAAAGACACAAATACAGACGATAAAAGCACAGACTCTCAGATATTTTAAGATATAAAGGCCTGTGTGGATGACAGAGGAAAAGATAAGATTAGATGAAAGGGTAGATAGAGGAGAAGAGAAGGAGCAGGATGAGGGTTGTTGTACAGGCCCACCGAGAGGAGAGAGTGTTAGGCAAGGTGCCAGGACGAGCCTCCGAGCTACCCGCTCATTGTGCAGAAACAAACAGTGGATTTAATTAATCAGGCACTTGCTGGGTGACCAAACACTTGCCCCCTGTCTCCCTCATTCTTCATCTCGCTGCACCACCCACTGCCTCCTCAACCTCCTGCCTCCTTCCTTTACATCCAAACATGCTTGTTTTCAGACTCCCTGTCTCGTGGGTTAAACTCTACTCCTGCGTTTTTCTTTCTTCCTGCCAAACTAAATTGCTCCTTTAGTCTATTTTGTGTGCATCTCTGTTATCCCTTATTCTTCTCTCGATCTTTCTTCCATCTTCATCTCTTTCCTTTTCTGTCTCTCATGTATTGTTGTAGGTGGCACAGAGTCGAGATAAAGATCAGAGCAATGTGAGTCAAGCTGAGATTCAAAGTTCATTCTTGGCCTTGGAAACAGCAGTTGACAAAACAGCCTTGTCTCAAGGTTGATTTAGAAGCTGTTCATGGAGCTTTTGATTGTATCACTTCCCCAGCAGACAGGTGTCTGCACAGTTTTCATAGAATTACAGATGTTCAAATGTCCCCTTTTTCTGAGCACTTTGAAGGCTTTTCATCCATGCTGGGTTAAAAGATGAGACTCAGAAAAGTCAAGTGAGAGTCAAGTTCAAGAGCATTACTGTGGCTTTGCTGATCTTCAATCGTGACAAGGGGTTAAAGTGCTACAAGGCCAGAATAAACTTAATAAGAGGCAGTGGGGCAAATAAAAGCTTTGGGCCCCTATTTCCCTGTTGGAAATCAAAGTGCCTTAGCCTGATAATCAGACTAAATTACCCTTTTGTATTCATGCTAGCTGTCAGCAGCGAGTGACATATCCATCCCACAGACCCTCATTGTCAGTCAGCACGGGGAAGGGACAGATATATATGCTGATTCTAAAGTTGTTATTTCTGTAAATTGACTTGCAACAACCTGTCTAGTTGCATCAATCTCATCCACGCCCGCCACCATTTTTGTTCCTTTTTTTTTTTTTCTGTTGCCATTTTACCAGCTGTGGCGCAGGAACATGATGCCCTCCATTCATAAATCTGTGACTTTTTATGACAAAATCAGTTCACTCAAATTGAACTGCAGTGATACGTGAATTGGGGGCAAAGTAAACCATCATGAATTTAATGAATAATGAGTCAAGTTTAACTTTGTGATACATCTTTTCAATAAAGCGTGTGACCTTCTTGTCCTGTTAGCAACTGAGCTAACTCGCTTGTTAACTGACCGCTAGCAGGGTCACTAGAATGAGAAGGTGCCCTGAGAACAAAATGTCAAGGGGCGTAAATGCAGAGAAAATACAAACAAGCTTAAAGAGCTGTTGAGATTACCATTAGCTTTGCTAGCTAGCAGGTTAGCGGCCATCTTCAGTTCACCAACTACCGCTGTTCATCATCACAATGTTATCAAGGTTTCACTTTCTGGCACAATTTCTGCTCATAACAAATTACTCAAGTAATAATTCTCCTTCGTAAGAAGCTTCTGCAATATTTTAATGTGCAATTGACCTTGTGGAGTCATCAACTCAAGGCAATTGTTCAATCAAATCACCATAAAACAAAAAACAAATTAGACTCATAACTGCAAGCATTGTTGATTATGATTACGCAGCGGTTG